AGCAGCAGCAGCAGCAGCAGCAGCAGCAGCAGCAGCAGCAGCAGCAGCAGCAGCAGCAGCAGCAGCAGCAGCAGCAGCAGCAGCGTGCGTGTGCGTGCAGGTGACCTCGCGCCTCAAAATGCGGCGAAGACCCGAAACCCCTCCCGCAGTGCTGCGGCTCGACGGCGAGGGTTTAGACCTTCGCGGGGTTTGGGTAGATGGCAAAGAAATCCCGGGGGGCCCCCACCAGGGGGGCCCCCCGGGGGCCCCCCAGGGGGCCCCCCAGGGGGCCCCCCAGGGGGGCCCCCCGGGGGGCCCCCCCCAGGGGGGCCCCCAGGGGGGGCCCCCCGGGGGCCCCCGGTACAGCGTGGACGCCGAGGGGGCCCTGTACCTTCCTGCTGCAGTGCTGCCAGCAGCAGCAAACGAAAGCTTCGAAGTGAAAACCCTAGTGGTTATAAACCCTCGCAGCAACTTGAAACTTTCTGGACTTTACTTGACCAATGGTCTTCTTTGTTCGCAGTGCGAAGCAGAAGGGTTTAGGAGGATTACCTTTTTCCTGGACAGGCCCGACGTCACGGCGGTTTACAAGGTCCAAACCCTAAACCCTCACAAACCCTAAACCCTAAACCCTCACAAACCCTAAACCCTAAACCCTCACAAAGCCTGAACCCCAAACCCTCCCAAACCCTAAACCCTCCCAAACCCTAAACCCTCACAACCTCAAAGCCCTCGCACAGCCTAAACCCTCGCGAAGCCTAAACCCTCGCAAAAATATAAACCCTCGCAAAAGTATAAACCCTCGCTAGCGCTAAACCCTCGCAAACCCTAAACCCTCGCAAACCCTAAACCCTCGCTAAACCCTAGAAGCCCTCCCCCGACCCCTCAGCCATATTAAACGAAAGCCGAAACCCTCCACTCTTCACGGTCCACTTTTCGGATTTCCCAGGGCTTAGGGTTTAGGGTTTAGGGTTTAGGGTTTAGGGTTTAGCCACCACGAGGGTTTAGACCCAGCCTGCACTCCCGAAAGTGGCGAGCTCCGGACTCCCGGCGCCCGGCCCCCGCAGGCTGCCAGCTCAGGGTTTAGGGTTTAGGGTTTAGGGTTTAGGGTTTAGGGTTTAGGGTTTAGGGTTTGTGCAGGTGCGGCTGGAGGCGGACAAGGCCCAGTACCCTACTTTGCTCAGCAACGGCGACCTCATAGAAGAGGGGCCCCTCGAGGGGGCCCCCCAAAGACACTTTGCTGTTTTTTCGGACCCTTTTCGAAAACCCTGTTATCTGTTTGCTGTTGTTGCGGGGCCCCTCGAGTGCATTCGAGACACTTTTACCACAAAGGTCCCAAA